TAGTAGTAGTAGTAGTATGTAGTAGTGGTCGTCGTGGTGGTGGTGTTGGCAGCAGCAGCATTGTCATGGTCGTCGTTGCCATGGCCGACATGGCGGTGGTGAGGGTGGAGGTGGCAGTGGCTTCGGTGGTGGTGCTGCTGCTGATGGTGCTGGAGCTGGTGGGTGGCGGCGGCGATCTGTTTGGCCTCCTGTTGTCATTGTGAATGTCTTTCAAATGGTCGTTGTCTTCCGCCTTTTCCCATCCTCGACATCGTTGCTGCTGCTACCGGTTACTTGCCTTCTGTTTTATGGTAGTCGTAGCTGCGACTGTTGCAGTTGTTTGTATTGTGTTGTCGCTGAATTGAGGTTGTCCTCGTCGCCGCTACGATTGTCATGTTCTTGTTGCTGTTGTTGCTGTCGTCGTGGCTGTGGCTGTTGTTGTGGTGGTTGTTCTTGCTGTCGTCGTCGTGGCTATGTTGCGGTAGTAACTCAGTAGCAGCAGCAGCAGGAGTAGTAGGAGTAGTAGTAGTAGTAGTAGCAGTAGTAGTAGTAGTAGCAGCTGCCGTAGCTAAGCAACGGATGTCAAACAGGCACCAGTTTCGTTGGCTGGTATCAGAACCTCTATAAGCGCGATTTCCAACGCACTGTTCGAGGTCTAGCCTGAGCGGTTTCAGGTGGCGAAAATCTTGGCTGAGTGCTTTCTTTCCGGGCAGACCCGTGCAAATTAGGGGATGCCGGACTTCCGGCTCAGATTTGTGAACCGCTTTTTCCGACAAGCCGCACATCTCCAAGATGGCACGAAAATGCCCCAGCACTGCGAGCCTGGGCCACATTGATGATTGCCATTCGTAGGATGTTTACGATGCGTTTTTTCACCCTCCGTTCTGCACTACTACAACAATGACGATCAGCTCGTATGAGAAGTGGCTTCGTCATGTTTACGAAGTCTAAGTCTGTCCAATGGTGCTAGAAGGCCAATGCCTTTAATCATGTATATGAACTAAAGCTTTGCATCACAGGTTAGACCCAGTTACTGCATGCAGAACAAGCAGCTGGTTGGGCAGGTTGTCGAGGCAGAATGTGCAACCTTCCAGCATACTGAAGTTCAAGCCGAAGATGGTGCTGCTAGTTTGCATGAAACTCCGACGTCTAGGGACCGAGAGTACAGTCGTCAACGCGCTGCTACCCATCTTCGAACATCGGACAGTATAGCTTTATAAGGTAGCATGCACTTGAAGGACCTCGCATCAACTTACTACCCAAACCTCGCTACGAGTGGGTCTCGAAGGTCGCACTCACGCGAGTTGATATGCTCACATTGCGAGAATCTGAGTTGACCACCGGCAGTCATACCGAATGCATTCACCTGGAGCGTGGCATCCATGTAATCCATGTCCATCTTGCCAACCACCTCTCAGACACAAGGTGACGGCACACGATCGTTGAGAAACTGTCGGCTTGCTACCGCTCCTGACTTGCTCTGAACACGTTGCCCCTGCCTCGCAGGCACTGTACAGGCCTGTGCAGGGTGGACCCGTCGGCGGCACTCAGCCGAAACGGGCAAAAGGCTGCAGAGAAACCAGCAGAGTCACGCTTGCACAGAGAGGTGCTTGCATTCGCAACTGAAACCGAAACCTGACACGACCAATCCGCAGGGCAAACAAATTATGACAGACAAAGCCGCAGTCGGCACCCGTACTGTCTTATAAACTCTTGAGGGGTTTCTTCGGATAGGGATTTCTTCAGTTGTGGGACACGAAGCATGCGACATTAGCTGCTACGATTAGCTAGCGCTCTTAATCAGAGAAGTGACCGAATAATTCAGAAAGCATCAGACAACAGAAATAATTAAGAACGCATCAAAATCATTCCGGCAACCTCTGAATCTTCCAGTCCAGGCAGCACGGCCTTTGGGTACCGTGAGTGGGCAACACGGGAGCCACACACAACAAAGTGCGCACGGGAGACTAGCCGCGAAAATATCGTGCTATATACACGTCCCGCCGAAAGCTCATTTGCACAAAAGAAAACAGAAACTGTGCAAGTATGTGATTTGTTTGTTGCTTTTGATATTATTCATTTTTCTGTCTAGATTTTCAAAAAATGATGTTTTTAATCGTTCCTGAATTTTCCTAAGTTCTCCTTTGTCTTCTTGAGTGTCCTTTGATTCTTGTGTTTCTTTGTCCGAACTGGGCCGACACTTCGCAAGCACAGTCATTACGGCGTCAGATCTTAGCACATGGTGGGGAAAATGGTCGGCAGATCCATAATTTGGTTTCCGGGTCTGGGCGGACACCGAACTTAAAATTAGCTCTGTTTTTTCAGGGTTCTTCCTGAAGCTCTGCCTACTGCTACTGCCACTGCTACTGCTACTGCCACTGCCACTGCTACTGCCTCCGCTACTGCTGCCACTGCCACTCCCACCACCACCACCGCCGCCGCCACCAACACCACCGCTACCACCACCACCACCAACAGGAGTAGGAGGTCGGAGTAGGAGTAGGAGTAGGAGTAGGAGCGGGAGTGGGAGTGGTGGTGGCGTCCTACTTCTATGCCTCGCGCTCCGGCTTCCACTACTACTCCGTCTACTCCTACTCCTTCACCTCTAAATGCTTTCACTACTCACTACCCCTACTGTTCCGACTACTACTCCCACTCCTACTATTCCTACTACTCCTACTACAACTGCTGCTATTGCTACTACTACTACTACTACTACTACTACTACGACGACTACTACTACCACCACGATTCTCGCAGTCCCTCGTCCTTCCATAATATCATAGAACTGACTCAACCGTATACGTGCAAGAACCGTCTTCCTCTTAGGTGGGTAGGGGCCGGCACCCCGGAGCCGAAACTGCCGGCTTTGTTGCCCTGGCGAAGCTGGTCGCTGTCTGCTTTGAGGTTTAGGAGCTGGCTCTCGCAAGAGGAAGTTCCCATGCAAGGCTCCGAGGCAAGTTGTCTGCACGGTGCTCCTGCAACCTCATGCACCCTCATAAACGATCTCGAAACCACTTCCCGAAACATCGAGCGCTGCATTGACATCGTGAACCCCGCTGTTGCATTCTGAAGCACAGTCTTGCACGGTTTCATTTTTCAAGCCAAGGCATAACAGTTTTTGAGCATGACAAGCCAAGCTCCAAGCTCCCGCCCCATGCCCAGAACATCCCTCAGCTTTGCAGCCGAAAACTTTCAAGCCCCGAGGGTTTAGGGTTCACGGTTTCCAAGTCAGTCTCAAGTGCGCAATGGTGAGGCCTCCATGTGTGTGGCTCTGATTCCAAGCCTTGAGCTTCGTACAAATACCTGAACACCCCCTGAACCGAAGTCTCACATAGAGCATGCCGGGCAGGCCGCGCAAATGTCGGCATAGCCACTGGACATGCCAGAGTGATGCGAGACTGCTTTCTCACCTGTTCACAAGGAGAAGCATGCGACAAAAAACAAGCCTAAACACGTGGCTCCCTGTCCCCATGACAACGCATAAAAATGTTTGCCCCAGAAACAAGCAGTTCCATGGACCCCTACTTCGCTTCATGCATCGAGGCCCCTCAAGCCGAAGCCAACTTTGGGTTGACGGGACCGGGCGGAAGGCTCTTGTCCTCGTCGAAAGGCCTCGTAACCTTGCTCTCCTTCAGTCTTCCAGACATCAGTTCCCGAACAAGGACGAAAGCCTGACCATCCACATCCTCGAGATGTACAGTTGGAGAGACTGACCCCTCCTTCAGTTCATGCACCACAACAGGCATATTAACAGAAGTGGGTACTTTAGAAGAAGGAGTATGTGCACAAAAAAGCCATCACCATGTTAACTAACGCTGACAATGACTACCGTCGCCATCGTCACCGCCATGACAACATCAACCACTGCTATTGTCGCCATCACAATCATCATCCTTGTCGTGTCAGTTATCTTAGCCATCTTGATTTGTATTTTCGAAGCATATTGACTCCGTCATCAACACACCATCAACATCATCAGCAGTTTCTGGATCATAATCATCAAAACCATCACCAAAATCATCGTTAACATCTCTGTCGAATGCATCATCTCCACCAGCAGCATCACGGACGTCATCACGTGTTTTTCGTTTTTCCCGCATTCCGCCTTCATCGCCATAACATCACTACGATCACCATCATAGCCGTCCGCATCGACATGACTGTCTCACCTTTCCTTAATCTGCATAGCTCCAAGCCGCCTTTCTTGCCACCCAGCATGCCAGAGAAAGCATTGCCGGCTCCGCTGGCGACCAGCTTTCCAGCATCCTCCGGCCAATCGCAAGGAACTGTGTGATCGTTCCGCGATGCAAACTTTGTTATACTGTACCAGTGGTATGTAGCTGAAGATTTCGACAAACAAGCAACATACGGGCCTGGGGACGGAATAGCAAACACAGTACTGTTTCGACCCACCTTTGGCCTCTTCTTGCCTGGACTCTTCCGAAACAATAGCATGTTACATGTTGCAACACACTGGAAGACGAGTTTTGTAGCATGATGTGCATACGACACTCATTTGCCACCTGCCGGTGTGTATGTCTGGGTCGCAAGTTCTTGCGTGCTCGTCGGGCTGGCATACATCAGGGAACTTCGGAAAAAGCCCGAAGCCCCGGCTGCATGTTCGGTGGCGCTACCTGAAAATCAACATGATACAATGCTCCTGTCGCTAACGGAACTGTTTCTGTTTGCTGGTTTCCATCTGCTGTCGCAATCTGGACGGACACCAAACCGAGCCTCGACAGCGTCGCCGAGGGTGCGCATCATCCCCTGCTCTCGCACAGACTTGACCGTGGCCTTCAGGAAGCTGCTGGGAGCAGTTGTTGACTTCTGTAAACTTGCTTATATATATATATACATACATATACTCCTGAATTAGCAGTAGCGACCTGGTGCGGAAGCATGCAAGCCGATGACCTTCAGCGTCTCCGCGGACAAACAGTGCCATCGCACAACCAACCCACATCACGGAGAACACGGCCGCCTGCACGTCATCGGCGATCACATCGATCGCCCCGGCGAGGGCCTGCGGCTGACTTGGCCCGAAAATCTTCTCGTCAAGCCCGAGGAGAAACTGCTACCGTGAAGCCCCAAGCCCAGACCTTGGTGCTTCAAGATTCAACCATCAACCACAGGTAGTGTTGAGTTGGCAATGTCAATGTGAAACTTCTCGCAGTCGCAAGATCTTAAAGCCCGAAGCCCCTCAGTCTGACGCCACAGCACAAAGTCCTGACAAACCAGTCCACGTATTTGGTGACTGAAATTATTAAAGCCACTCGTGCCCGGAGACCCTTCCTGGTCTATGGATTTGAGCATGCCGTGAAGAACTGGTGCCGATGAGGCACCTCGAAGGAGCATGTAACGTAAATGTATATGCATGTGTGCAGGAGATAAGTGCATGCATGCTTGCATTCAGCCCAACGCCCCCTCCGCTCAACTACCTAAATGTCACAACATGGCTATACGCATGCATGCATACATAAACATACATACATGCATACACACGAACCTAGATACATACATACAATAATACGTACATACATATACATATACATATACATATACATATACATATACATATACATATACATATACATACATGCATACATACATACATACAAACCCACATACAGACAGACAGACAGACAGACAGACAGACAGACTGACTGACTGACTGACTGACTGACTGACTGACACACTGACAGACTGACAGACTGACAGACTGACAGACTGACAGACAGACTGACAGACAGACAGACAGCCACACATGCTTGAATGCCTAGATTATAAACGGACACACACATACATGCATGCATACATGCATACTGCATACACATATACATCCACCCATCCATCCAGCCAGACAGACAGACGTACATATGCGTGTCCGTACACAACTATATTACGTACCGCACACAACAAGCATGTTCACAAACACACACACACACACACACACCACCCAACTGCATACTCGAATACGCGTATTGCAGACATGCACGCAAACACAGCTGTGTCTCTATGTGCATTTTGTCTGCACGCCTACACATGTGCTGCACATCTGCATGCAGGTGGGCAGATGCATACTCATATGCATGCACACAGACGAATATGCTTACGTATGCACGCAAGTAGTGGTGTGTACAGACATGTGCATACGTCTGTATATGCATATACATGCCCATGTTCTTACGCACAAACACATTGCACCGTAAACTGTACCTTCGAACCAACCTACGTGTTGGTGCTCTACCTTTCTGTAATTGTGCCAACACCTTCTATACCTTTACCTATACCTAGATCTAGATCTACATATCGTACACACGAAGCTGCACCTCCAAACCTATGAACACATGCACCTATGCGTGCGCAGACAGGAATGTAAGACCTGCATACACACACACACACACATATGTGTAGATATGTATACACTCACACGCAGAGTGGCTTCACATGCATCTGTGCATCTATGTAGGCATACATGAATGCATCTATGCATGCACGTGTGAAAAAGTCAGCAGAGTCCTTATATACCGCAGCCTGTAACATCTTTATGTATGTGAGTGAATGTCTGCATGTCCGTGTATGTGCTGTGCAGGCACTTGATTGCATACCCTCTAGGTTCTCTGGACTTTAGACTTCGGGTCGTCAAGTTGTTTTCGTCTTTGCTGCTTTACACGACTGGCAAGAGACGGAGGTGTCATGGCACAGTGTAAGTCTCGAGGGCTTCGGCTAGAGGGCTTAGGTTTTCTGAAAGATTTCGGCTTTACGGAAAAGTATGTGCCACATCGGCATAATAGCATGCGGGCACCAAATCCTGCGCTGAGGCTCGGACTGTGCAGCACTCCCCTCAGGGCGCGCACTGAAACAAAACTTGGAAAAAAGACTGAAGGCTGCGGCGAGGGGTGCATACACAGGCTTGCTTGCGTACATTTTTCCTTCTCACTGGCCGATGATGCTACATAGATGCTGTGGACATCGGAAGCCATGTACTCGGGGCATAAATGACTTCGATGCTGAGCATAGAGTTGAGCAAGTTGGACCTTGAATCCTCGTTGCACCCAATCGTTCCTTCCCGCGCGTCTAGGGAAACGCAGAGACGCAGAGGGGACAGGGAGCCAGTTTAAAACATATGAAAGCGGCACGGCAACTGTCTGGGTGCCTGTGCGATATTGTGCGATTGCCTACACACAAACAAATAAACAAGCAAACGAACAAAGAAGCAAGCGAGCAAGCAAACAGACAACCAGCCAGGCAGGCAGATACATGCAGGCATGCACATTTACGTACGTGCATACATAAGCATGCATACCTGCATACATACATAGGTACGGTAGAAAGATAGAATGATAGATATGATAGTTAGACAACTAACTAATTAGATGCATAGATAGATAGGTAGACAGATGGATAGATAAGTTGCTAAACAGAGAGATAGAGAGAGGCAGAGAGAGCGATAAAGAGATAGATAGACAGTGAGATGGAGACATCCATGGACAAAAAATATTTTCCAATAGATAGATAGGTGGATGGATCGATAGACGAATAGGTAAACAGGCAAATAGGGAGACAGGCAGACAGACAGATCGATAAATAGATTGATATGTAGACAGAAAGGTAGATGGATAGGTATGCAGATCGGTACGGAGATGGAGAGATAGGTAGATAGACACACAGATAGATGGATACGAAGCAATGTAGAAAGATGGATAGAAATGCAAATAATCTCTTGGAGCCTTTAACCTGTGCATCCTGAGAACAGCGACGAAGGATTTGGCAAGTATCAACATCTTCTGACCGTCGGCTCTGCTGCATTTTCTATACTTTCAGTACGTTGCCGAGCATGGTTCTCCTGGAACTTCCCCGAGGAGGACCCCAGCTCTCGGGACAACGGCAGTTCACTCAGGCTCTGCTCGGGCCTGTGCTATGAGACTCTGCATGGGCTGATCTGAGTGCCAGCTCCGCTGGTTCAGGGAGCGGCTCAGGTTCCTTCCGAGCTGGAAGTTGCCCGGCTGCCACGGCTTTGTCAACGGCTTACCTTTGAGCCTGTTGATCCGGCACGTGCTCTCATCGCTGCAGTGGCCGCTGAGTCGCCCCGTAAGTGATCCTGGCAAGTTGCCCGGAACCCTGCCGCATGCCAATGCCCCTAGACTGGACCATTGAACGCACAATTCGATGTCAGAAGGCTCGAAGCGCGCAACACTTGTTGCTTGCCTCAGCCAGGCTACCACTCATATAATTCTTCTTGGGAAAAATCAGCGTGTTCACGCTCGGCACAGCCAGCAGGAGGCAAATCTGTCTGCGGAATTTAAGTGCTATACAGACCAAAGACATCATACACATCCTCGGTGGTAGGGGTCGGAACAGGTGGGGAAGCTAACTCGGCTGCTCGGGGCAAATCTAGAAGGCATCAAAGCAAGTGCATATGTAATTCTTTGTGCCCAAACCGTGCATGCCCTATGTCCAGCCTTGGTCGCATCCCGGCAATCCCGGCCTCGACAGGGTCCAGATTTTTCGGTATCTCGGACTTGGTGCCTGGGTTCTAATCTTGCGGTGCCGGATTCGGGACTGCCAGGATGTCGCTACGTTGAAGGCTTCTCGTTGAGGACGCATGGGTCGACAGTCTTACTGTTGATGGACAAAATCCTGCATTACCCATTATAAGGAATATACCATAATTCCCATAGTTTAAGGTCCTTAAGGTCATGCAGGATTTTGTCCATCAGCAGTACGGACAGAGAACATATGCTCGGGAGCGAAACTTCTGGTTCGCAAGAGCCCCTCGTGCTCTTCACGCTGAAATACTGCCTTAGTACAAGCCGGAGTTCTCAAGCTGAAATCTTAAACTCACTACGCCCGACTCGCCCAACTCGAAACCCATGACCCTGAACCGCCAGACTTAGGAACCCTCTCCCACCTCCAAACTCCTGAAGCGCCAGTCTTAGGCCGGCACTCCAGGAGGGTAGCCAAACATGCGTTGAGGCATCACTGCCTCGCTCCGACACGGGAACACCAAACAACATACTCATCTACACGAATGTGTAACCATATACACTCTCTCTATATATCATATATACATACATATACCTATTTGTGTATGTATTTGCACAAGACATTGAGAGAGACCGTTCATCACTGGCCCTGACGAAAGACTTGGGGCTTGGGTCCAAGATGCTTAACTACCCGAAACCATCCAGACATGGGGCCGCCCAAGCCAAGCTAGACCATGAGTCGCAGAAGCGCCAATGTGGACTGCGGCCACGCCCGGGTCTCTTCGGCTGCTGCAGGAGGGGTGACACCAAGACTAGTCGGCTATCTCGAAACCCTGAGGCCGACCGTCCTCAAAGCCAAACGGTTGTGGCTTGGCCTTCGGTGCTGGCTGGCTCTTCGGCGCATCATCTTCGGCAGCCCACGCCTGTGCATGGCTATGACAAGGAGTTGAGGGGGGTGGGGGCATGGACTTGGCAGAGCTCATTCCCTTTGCAGGCCCGGTTGTTGCACATGTGCAGCAGGGACTGGAAGGTGTAACCTCACAAACCTGCATCTGCAAGCCACAGCGTCAAGGCTGATGCCCACAGTGGGAATGAGAAGTGCCTCGACATGATGATGATGATGATCATGATATTCATGATGCAATGATGATGATGATGATCATCATCATCATCATTATCATGACCAGCATCATAGCCGTCACCAATGCCGGACAGCCAAAAGATGTATCATGCTGATGATGGTACTTGGAAAGGGAAGTATAGGCACGTGCTCCGGTCGAAGCATCACTTTTGGCAAGGCAACGAGTATATGTTGACGAGAATGGAAGGACTTCGCTCGTAAAGCAGTACATCGTCACTTTTGCCACGTAGGCATCAACAGAAACATCACAAAGTTTGTTGGAGAAGCAGGCTGCCTCCGCAAGCTGGCCGTCTGCAAACTCAAGTAATCTTGAGCGCACAGGGTCTCCTTGCAGAGATTCAACTCTGCATGGCTACATAGCAATTCTGCGTTAGGTCGTCTACAAAACTTGCACTGTTCTTTCTGGAGCCATAGGTGGGCAAGTGAAGATCGCCAGGGCGTCCCGCACACTGCTGTGGGGACCGTAGATCCATCCGATCAAGCCATGACGAACAGGTGAAATAATGCGGGACTCAACCCTGAGAAGTGTGATTGCACATGCGCTGTATTATCGCATGCTACACATGTTGCTCCGTCAGCTGGCAGTGCAAGCTGGCAGCAAGAACGAACCAGCGACACCATCGAACAGCTTCTGAGGCCTTCTTTTCTCCAAGGCTAATGTGAAAATAGATCTCGAGCCGCAAATTCCAGAACCCAATACAGTATAACCCAATGCCAAGCACCACAGCTAGGCCCAGAGTCCAAAGCCGGGAAGAATCAAGATGAATCAATCAAGCACACACCAGAAGCCGTCCGGAGGAAGGAATTGGCCGTGCAGCCGCCAGTTGTCTGGCCTGGGCAGCCAAGCGCTGGTGGCCTGGGCTTGGCTTTGGGGACTTTGGGGTCCAGAGAGAGTCCTTTGTTGTTGACTCTTGGGTTAGGTCAAAAGAACCTGGCTTTGAGATGCTTTAAACATGGCATTGCTTTCCTCAAAGTAGAGTTTTGCAAGGCTCGAAATTCGGGCGTCGGTCCAACCAACATCTCCTGAAGGTTGCCACCCATCAGGAGCGCTTCGCAACAATAACAACAAAACCGGTTGATCGTTGCCTGCTAGAAGTTTACATTCAAAAGCTTGCCTGGCACGGATAAGAGTAGAGTGCTAAGGAGGCTCAGTCTTCCTGAGCCTTTTCTGGCCAAGGCGCTTTCTGGACTGTCATCGACGGCTAAATCCACCTGGGCTTGCGAGCTTCAAGGCAAAGCGCCTGACTTTGTATGTGGGCACTCACTGTACCCTGCCCCAAGGCAAAAAGATCAAATTACATCAGCATAACTCAAACTCGATAATAAAGCAGGGCCGGGAGGCAAAACCCGCGGTCCAAACACAAAATGGATGTTGCTTTTCCTAGCTCTAGCCAGCTGCAGTCCAAGTTTTTGGGGGAACTGAAACCCCAAGATGCGACAAGAATCTCCTAAGTCTACAGCTCAACCGCAGCGAAGATACCGGCAAGACAGAAACGGCCGTGCCGGGGGGGCACGGAGGCCGGGGAGGCCTCGGCAAGGAGCAAACTCATCACAACAAGATGAGAAGTGGCAGAGGCCTCGGCGCGTAGGTCATTGAACGCTGGAACAGGAAGAATCATGAGATGCATTGGCTTCGCTCCAGAGTCCACGAGAGAGTTTGCGTTTGGGTTCGCATGCTCCGCTGCTTTGCCTGTCGGAGGGAAGAACCAGGTCTTCGCGCACCAACAGCAAATAACAGGAATGTAGTGATACCCACGCCACGAAACCATCGAGTGGAAACACCTGCCTGAGAGCGTCGCCGGAGTTCGACAGAGCGCGTTTGATGAATGGGCTTTCTTGTGCATGATCATCACAGGCATAGCTGATGTTGGAATGTTGCGCATGTCATCCCCAGTGGCATCCGCACACTTCTATGCATAGGAGCTCAGAACCCTGGCATCATGTGGTGCGTTTTCCAGCAACTCTTGGCACAGGGCTTGGGTGCACGAGGTGACAATGGCGCTGGAGGACGATCCTGAGGTCTTTGGCGAAATGCTCAACGAAGGGATCTTTAGCCGGCAGCGACCTCTAGCAAACAGACCATGCTTCTTCGAGACTGCTGCTACCAAGTGAGGTGCTAGTGCTAGTGCGTGGTAGTAGTAACAGCAGCAGCAGCAGCAGCAGCAGCAGGAGGAGGAGGAGGAGTAGTAGTAGTAGTGGTGGTACTGCCAGCACATGTACCACTGCTGGTATTACTCCTAACCGACGCAAGTAGTTTCACTAGTT